CCCCCCCCCCTCCTCAGGCATCTTCTCGCTCCTTAGGGAAACCGACAATTATCGGACCCACAACATAGTTATAACTGATCGAGGGCTCCTGCCGCCCTCTCCCCACTCCATATATCATACACATTTGTGTGAATCCACTCAGAACAGACACCACCTGTCATATCCGTCATAATGCGCACCTTGATTTGGTTTAGATACTCCCCTTAACGCGATGTTAGTTGGTGAAACTGTACCGTCTATCACGTCACCCCATCACCCATTTCAAAATAATGGCAAGATGAATGAGATCGTACCATAGGTGCTTGTGCGGTTTCCATCTTCATGAATGGAGCTTGGGTTCCGTTCGGAGTTCCCGGAGTTGGTACTATATTTGAATATTCCGGTCGAGTCTGGTCTCCTGCCTTATCCCCCTTGGAAATTCCACAAGCTTTTCGACCGCGAGTACCACTAACCACTCGTTGAATTCTTGCCCCATCAACTGAATTAATTTTATTATTGGGTGTGGAGGGATTAGTAGAAGGATATCGACCAGCTGACCTAAGAAGACTACCAGCACTGGGTGATGTCCCAGTAGGAGATGTTCCAAGAAGTACTCCATTTCTGTGGAGCATTTCTTCCAGATTTTCAATGTAATCAATGGCTGTGCGAAGAATCTCTACCTTAGGCATGCGTTGATTAGGATTTGAACATGTTCGACGCTTCAGAGTTTCAAAAGCTTCGTTCACTTTGCGAAGACGCCGACGTTCTCGCATTGTTGCCGCCTTTCTTCGATCGACCTGCATTGTCTTCTTCTTGCATGCTTTGCAAGCCCAAAGAAGACATTGTCCATGAGATCCCGGAGCTAATACATGTTCTTCCTGGCAAAGAAATCATTTCCATATTGATTAAATCGATGCACAAAATAGTTCATTCACTTTTTTACCCATGATTTTAATAGCGCCTAATAAAGACGACTAATTAAGTGGAAAATGAATGCATTTCAAAGGGGGGTCCTTACTGACTGAAAGGTGGGCAGGGGAGTTACTTTTGCTGCAGACTTAGTAACCGGCTAGTGTGTATGTTTTATTACCACCCCTCCTCCCCTCCCCCCTCTATCCCCTCGCCCTGGAAATCGTGTCTTCGACACTATGCAACAGTTGTTCCTTCAACTAAAGGAAGGAAACGTAGGCATGCTACAGGCCCTGCCTACGAAATTCTATTGGACAGTACCAGGCACTAGGACTGCTTACTTGCTCTACACTTGATGTTATAACGTCAGCTGTTGTTCTCCTATTTTCCCTTCACTTTCAAGGAAGCGAGAACTGCCTACTCTTTTATACTGGCTACTCCTCCACCGTAGTCTCTGATGATGAAAATTCCCACCCCTCCCCTCCCCTTCCCTTCCCTTCCCTCCCTCCTCCTTGGTATTCCCAATGATCGTGGTGAACAGCTGACGCCTTCCTGTCGACAATATATACGTATGGAGTGAGTAAGATGACCACTTAGTCACGGTCGCTGTTCCATGAAGTATATTTCTGCAGGCTTTTATCCCCTTATGCATTCCAGAACAAATTAATTAAATGATCCTCTCAAACTGGTTTTACACTAAGCCCACTAATGGACTAAATCCATAGGTGGAATTAGTCAACCTTGATTTGATCAAATTATTCAACCGTGGAGGATACTAATAACAGATCTAATCGATTTCTAGGTGAATGATCTGATATGGTGAGGTCAAATATGAACGCTGTACTTGGATATCATGTCCTTAAGTAATCTTAATGCATAATGTACCAAAAGGGAAAGATGCCAGCCATTCGTAAAAAGGGATCCATTAAAAAATCGATTAAAATGATTCCGCATTGATAAACCTTTAATAGCCACAAGGCACCGGAATTGATATCAAAATACCCTCTTTAAAAAGAGGATGGTGATAAAACTTACAATTATCGCTAATTTCGAAAAAAAAAATTTCGTTCTTTTGGGATTGGCAATAAGCAAAGAACTTTTCATTTAGAAAATCAATTTTTTAAGGCCACCACTTACATCTTTGCTCACTAATTATTTTGTAAGCATATTTTAATCAAATCAAGAGGAAAATAATATAAGCACTTGGATTAAAAAGAGCGAAAAAGAGAGGGCAATAGAAGCGAAATTTCCCTATTATTTTGAAGTTTATTCTGAACAACCGTTCCAAATAAATTTAGGAAATCTGCATGGCGCCAGCAAATTCACTCACATTTCTTTTATCATTATCGGATTTAAGTAAACAGTAAAAGTAGACCAAGAAACTTACTTTGCTTCCGGGTCCATGTTCGTCATCACTAGAGCATGTGTCATCTCCAGAGTCACCCATCGAAATTGGACTGTGATCCTCTGACATTCCGAGACTCGATTTTGCAGTCTTCTCTGTCACACTGTCAGCCTTCTTCGGCGTCTGTTGTAGACTTCGTACCTTCTTCCTCATATCTCCACCATTTCGTCTAGTATCTGCCATCCTCTTTCCTTGGTCTTTGTCAATGCTACTATTGAGATTGCAAGTAGTAGGCGTTGTCCCAGCAGTATTCGGCGCAGATTGAACACCAGAATTTGGTCCATTAAAGAAACCTGGGAGCTTTCCTCCTTCTTCGGGTTTCAGATAGAAACCCGGATTGTTGCTGAAACCTGGCTCCATGGCTGAACAAGTTGAATTCACTGAAGATGTTGATGATGAATCTAAAGCGTTTGCAGTTGCTGCTGCAGGCTTATTCGCGCTCGAAGTAGCTGGATGTTGGCTGGGATATTCAGGCCCCACATAATCACTCGTTTCATATCCTCGATTTGTCGGATAACCACCGGAATATGCGAATCCATTTAAATCAGTAGAACTGTTCAGGTGGTCTGACATGTAAGCAGTATAGCTTTGAGGATAGAACCCTTCAAATGTTGGTGGCATGACTCCTGCAGCAGGTTGATTTCCATAGAAAGGGGGGTAGCCGGGTGCAGCGGAAGATGTGGTGGCAGAATAGAGAAGATGATCATAGTTCCCCTCATTAGAAGTTAGTTCACTCTTGGCCACCAGTTGACTGACAAGGGTCTGAAGAGGGCCAGGGTGTGAGTCGGTAGGGAAGGGTCGATTCTGATTGACACTAGCAGTTTCATATCCCATAAGATTTGCATACTCGGGATAAGGGTAGACAGCTTCACTCCGTGAAGCCCTATTACTGCTCTCACTGTCGTGCAGCTTAGCTGTCGCATTGGGTGCTACCTCACTGCTCGAGTAATCGCTGTTACTACTTCCCAACATGTGTTTGCGTATCGGTGTGTCCTTGTCCTTTGTCAGGGCAACAACAGGGGGGTGTGTGGGGTAGCGGTAGGTAACAAGAGTTACGGCTTGTGCGTGATGTTTCTTCTTTCTCTTACAAGACTGATGACCGAGATGATCGCACACAAGCACAAGAGATTACTGAACAACTACGACAATTGTTAGCGCCTGTTGTCGTATCAACTGTTGTTGCTTCTTATTCTAGCACTGCGCCTGTTCACTCAGAATGTAGCGTTCCGCTAGATGTGCGTGTGCTCCGTATATGTTTTTGACAAAAAATAGACTGCTTTTCCAGGAGACTGCGGCTGTTCCAGCAACTGTAATTGCAACAACTGCTGTCCGTTATTCAATTTGACCAAAAGTGGCAGTCGATCTGTGCGCACTATTAGGCCAATCCTCCTATTGGATCGCGTGGCACCCTGTGTGCTACCTGTGACCAATCAGGAACCTGCGCGTGCTTTGTGCATTAGTGCGCCCGCGCCAATTGTTTTTCTGGCTATTAGCACGCCGCCTGAACAGCAAATGTTGGGCTTAATGACAGTACACAACTGTTGTGATTATCAGAAATCAATGCTCCCGACACAGACAAAACAGAGACTACTGCACGCTACTGTTACTACTACGCACCTAAATGGCGTGTGTATGTGTTTTCGCGCACACATGGAGGGAGATGGAAATTTTGGGAGGAAAGGATGAGGCGATCACGTGAATTCGGATATTTGCTTTTAGTTTGGTTAGCAACATATGGTGTGTACCAGTCACACAAATTTACATAAGTGGTTGTGATGCTTGCTTCCCATTTTTTATCCTTGATAGAATTACAAATTATAAAAATCTAATTAAATTGATTAGTATCACCTGCTTATGGTACATTACCCTTAAAAAGGCCCAATTAATTCATATATCCATTAAAACTCTATTTTTACCTACAGTAGACATATTTAGTTAACGATGATTGGCTATTTGAGCAAATAAACAAATAGGGAATATTTTTAATCAAATCAACCCCATTTGATCGTCCTTCAAAATTGGTAGTTGCAATGCATGTGTTAAAGACATTTTTGAAGAAGCAAAAACTCTTAAAATTAATTAAGGTTCTGAGTACTTTCAACCTTTTATTGAGTTAAAATTAACTTTCTGCTCTAAAACTTTTGAGAGAAAGGGCTGAGAAGTCATTATTTGTTAATCAATTTTTCAACTTGATTATTATTTTCAAGTTATGCCAGCCTTATATTTAAAATCGATAAAAAAAAATCTGTTTGCTCTAGGAACATGTGTTGCGACTCAGAAGGAAAATGATCGTTTGTAGTCCTTTAGCACGTAGACATCAGTGGAGAAGATACTGTTCTTGGTTCCACATTTTTGATTCCTCGATTTGGCACTTAGTTTTCTGAGTAATAACCTACGGTTGGAGTAATGAGTTCTTATTGGCAGACAACTTGAACTAAAAGGCCAGCCATACTCACTTGATTGGTAGAAAAGACATAATGAGGACAATTAAGGTGTTTAACACATGGCAATGTCTTCATATCAAAATGCCTCTCTCATACACCACAACCACCCCCCCCCCTTCCCTCTCACTGCGATGGTTGACCTACCTATGTGAATTTCCATAAGTGTAAATTGTTATTTAAAATTATTTTAAATTTCCACATTGCCCTCTACAATTACCCACGCACTGATGTCAAATGGTGCAAACCCATTAAAGTACCGAGATGTTTGATAAATTTTCCCCATTTTGAAGTAAATAGGTCAATGTCATAGGGTGGGATGATTACATGTTCAACAATTTTTCAACCCTGTGGTGTGGATAAGCACAGTGAATAGTGCATGCCAGAAATGGCTGCTTCGAAAAACTCGATGACATGTACCTACAGGATGTTAAGGCCAACTGGACCTGTAGAATCTTCATTGGGGTGTTCCGGTGATACTGCTCCTTAGCAATGAGCGTCATCTGAAAGTCATTCCTTTGAACAAACTTAAAAATGTCATCTAATTAAAACAAATCCAAAATATACATTTGCAATATTATAAATCAAGTGAGTCCCTTAATATTTTGGGCCAATGACCAAACGGAAATTCAAACTCTGAAGGTGACATATTTGAGTGACAACTATCCCCTTCACTTAATTATCACATGATACTAAAGGACATTTTTTGTGGATTAGTAATGACTTAATGAAATTACTAATAGTACATTATAATAGTAGTGTTTAAATGAAGATACACCCAATACTCAACATAAATAAATAATATTAATATACCACTTTGTACAAGAACTTGAATATGCCGAAAAACCATCTCGAAACAGGTCGTCAGAATAAGTTAGCCAACACTCATTCCACTCCTCCAGACTTCTTTTATTTCTCATTGCTCATTGGTGTTGCATTGTGAGTTTCTTAATAAGAAATCTGACAATTATCCTAACTAGTCAAACGTGACATATGACAAATGTCTGAGCCAAACGAATTTCCTTTTAATACCTTTATTGATCGGGAAATCGCTTCCACTGTCCAGACCACAAAATCTCATTCCACTGATCTATTTGAACTGGATGTAGTTCATTTTATTCACAATTTATTACTAACTTTCAACAAATTCCTGCCAACACCAGAGATTATTGTTCATGCACTTCTCCAATTAATCGTCTAAATTCACAAGAAAATAATTACTCTTTCCACTTATTATCTCCATTTTTGCATTTTAATTTCGCTGTCAAGATCATTAGATTGCGGTATTCTATCGTTGCATTTCCTGTTCAAAGACTTAACGTGTTGGGTATTTTATTTTTCAATTATGATAGATGAAAGCGGTTGAAGGGGGGTAAAATGTCCTTTCCAATTGCAATTAATGAAACGCAAAAGAAGTTTAATTGAAGCTGTCGATTGGCGGAGTTGCTTTAATGAAGTGGTTCGCAAATTCTTGTAGCATTTAAAGCACGTTTATTACTATTCATCCAAGAATCCCATATCTCAAATAATATTTCAAACAAATAAATAGTGAGTCATTTGCTAAAATAATTTTGGATTCCAAAAAATTTGATAACAAAGAAACCCCCCTCCATCCCC